GCCCGGCGCTCGTTTTGCGTGCAGCAACAGCAGCAACACCAGCAGCAGCAACAGCAGCAGCAACAGCAGCAGCAGCGACAGCAGCAGCAGCAGCAGGGGCGTTCAGAAGAAGAGGAGAAGCTGCTGGCGATAATTCCGCCATATTGGAATTTGTATATCACCAACTGCAAACTGCGCTGGAGAGACAAGCGGTGCGGCTGCTGCTGCTGCTGCTGCTGTGGGGCATTTCTGCTGTTTGCGTCAGCAAATGGAATTGAATTTGAATTAAATTTGAACTAAATTTGAATTAAATGTGAATTAAATTTCAACTAAATTGATTAAAAAATGAAGACCAGAAAGAAACTGTTTTGTTCTTCTTTCTCTTTTCTTTTTTTTATCCTTTTTATTTCTTTAATTCCTTTCTAATTCCTCTTCATCTTTTTTCCCATTTATTTATTTCCTTTGCATCTTTTTGCTCTTTTTTGTTTCCCCGAATATTCTTTATATCATTTTACTCTTTTCCTTCTTTTAATTTCCTTTTTTATTCCTTTAATTTCCTTTTTTATTTCATTTTAATTTCTTTTTCTTATTCTTCAAATTTCCTTTTTTTCTTCCTTTAATTTCCCTTTTTATCCTTTTAATTTCTATTTTTAGTTTCTCTTTTAATTCTTTTAATATCTTTTTAGTCTTTTAATTTATTTTTTATTTTTTTGAATTTTCTTTTCATTACTTTTTGCTGCACCTCAGCACGCCGCAGTCTCGGGTGTACGTACATCTGGTGCGCCCGGTGGCTCGTGAGACTTCAGAAATGAAAAAATGGCGAAACAAATGAAAAAACAAACAAATAAACAATAAATAAATAGTTTTATTTATTATTTTTAAATTATTTTCTCTTTTTTCAGATTAATTGAAGCATTTACTGCCGAATTTTCCTGGAAGTCTTCTTCTTATTTCCTGCGCGCAATGCGCACAGGCGCTCAGGTGTACGTACACCCCAGCCTCCAGCGAAACAGGCAGCAAATCCAAAGCGACATAAAACCCAAGAATAAAAACACCCAGCCCCCCAGGCGGGGGCCCCAGGGGGCCCCCACCTCTAGGGGGGCTCCGCAGGGGGCCCCGTTCTCTACGGGGGCCCCCCCAGAGGGAAACAGTACCCTAAAAGAAGACTCCTCAGAGGGGGGCCCCCCAGGCTTTTGCCCCTCAAATGGCACTTCTGGGAACTCTAGAAATGCCCATTCTGAGGGCCCCCTTCAGGGGGGCCCCTCTCAGGGGCCCTCACAGGGGGTCCCCTCTGAGGGCCCCTCTGCAGAGCGGGTTCCCTCGGAGGAGGGCCTCTGTGCAGAGGGCCCCCCTCAAG